ATAGCCAGTAATGCCAGCCTTGGTGCAGGTGGGTAACGCCCATGGTGCAGTCACATTTTCATTCACTCCAAATTATCGATGTCAAGTCGAAGGCAGCAGAGATCACCCATCTGAGCCAGAGGTACTATGTTCAGGATTTCTTTTTTGTTTTTTACTCCAAAGTCAGCCCATTCTCTGATAGATCTCTTTGTAAAAGGGTTAAAGCCAATGCATTTGTCTTTCACAATTTCCCTCTATTGAAACTTAGCAACAGTGACCACAAAAAATCCAAATGGCATTGCTCTTCAGAAACACCATAACTGATAGATTTACTTTCTTATAAGGATCTTTTCTTTAAGATACACTTAACTGAGGCTTTTAACAATTTGCATTACTCCATTTTTTTGGTTTTCTCGTAACTAAGCCACAGTATTACGGCTGAAAGTATTTTAGGCCTTGTTATTAGCCCAAAGTGTTGCAGCATCCAATCCATAATTTTCTTCAACTGCTTTACCCATTTCTCCTAATGGCAGCAAATTTTGAAGGCAATAGTTTGCATAATTTGCCAGTGTTTTCTTCAACCTTCAATTTCCTTACTGGTTCTGGTTAATGGCTAATTCTTAACATTATTTAATCTGCTACTGACAGAATGGCCTGAATTTTCTGCTTTTTCTTGGCTGATTCAGAATACCAAGGGAGCACCAGAGTGGTCGTATCTAACATAAAATATGAAGAGAAAATATCAGTAGTATTATATATGATTAGTAAAAATGTTAGCACAGTATCTTGTTTTCTATGTATCCGTAGACTCATGTGTTTAAAAGCTAAAAAAACAAAATAAAACCCAGGAAATGTATAGAAAATTCATTAATGATCTTATCTATGTAATCATAATAGCAAGGAGATGAGACACGTTGGGTGCTTAACAAAATCATCAGTCCAGTTGATAATTCATAATATATTGGATTTTTAAAATACAGTTCTCACTGCCACAGTTTAAAAACTATCTGAATAGCTTGGCTGAAAACCCATAGTTCCATCTTCTGTGTTTGCTTCCTAATTCCCATTACTTTGTATCTGTCAAGTTACTTACACCTGTCCCAGATGGATACAATACATTTTCAAGTCAAAAGTTACAGCCAGATGTCTTGATAGTAGAGCAAGTAAGTTGGAAATCAGGCTTGCTATCTGTAAAGTGCCATTTTTAATACCATAAACCACTCCATAAACTGGATATTGGTAAAACAGGCAAATATCTAAACACATTTAAATATCTTCCCCTGCTTTAAGGAATCCACGACTGATTTACAAACTATAAATAAAATTCATCCATGCAAACAACTTGGCACTAAGTCTCTTCCATGTGTAATTGAAACCAGACGAAGAATCGTGTCTCTAAAAAGGGGGAATGTCAAAGAGTAAACACAAACTTAAATATAGCAATATGAATTCAGCAGTTATATGTATAGAGTACTTGTCATTGTATTCACTCACCAGTACAGTACAAAGCATTTGTCAAATTCATTTGGTTTTCTTTCTTCTTTACTGTCATCTTAGCTAAATTTCATGCCAGAAGTTACATGGTGTGCTAAAGCGCTGGTCTTTTGTATTTGGAGGTCTAGGTTCAAATCCACTCGATTAATTTGTCCCCTCGATGTGGTCATTTGCACATCTCCAAATCACCGTGTAACTTGACTTAGTTATAGCTTGTGCCCGAGGGCCTAAATACAACGTGTGTCTTTCGCTCCTGGACTGAGGTGCATTGCTAAGTTTGAAGTGCTCTCCAAAAAGTGCCTTCAATCATGAATCAATCATATATACACATTTATATATATATATATATACAC